CGCAAAGCTTATCGCCCTCATAAAGATAGAAGGAGGGTTGAGACCGATTGCCATTGGCAAAACGCTGAGACGTATCGCGTCTAAATGCGTTGGAAGCAAGGCCCTCTTCGAGCGACAAAATTTTTTCGGTAACGCACAGGTAGGATGCGGTACCTAAAGAGGAGCAGAAATAGCTGCGCACTCGTTTCGATACCTAATTGAACGCGACGACAATCCAAAATGCACTGTTCTTTTAAAACTATATTTTAGGAATGCCTTTAACTCTCTAATTAGAGAAACAATGTTGAATCATGTTTATTCAAATCGCCCAGAATTGTATAATTACACCCATTGCGCGTATGGTAAACCTAGTTACCTTTTTTACGGAAGCTCTGTCATAATGTCAGAAGACGGAACTCAGCAAGGTGATCCTGAAGCCGCAACTTTTTTTGCGGAAACAATTCATACCTTAGTCAAACAGTTGGAGTCGAAAATTAACACCTGGTATTTAGATGATTTAGATGATGGAAATTTAGCCGACGACTATAAGGTAGTACACCGGGACCTTAAAAACATTCTGAAATCGGAACAATTTTACGGCCTGAGCTTGAACACTGGGAAGTGCGAATATTGTTTTTTGGGACCGATTACTAGTACACGGTATAATTCATTTTTAACACAATTTCGAAAAATATGCCCCAAAATCAAAATAAGACTAAAAGAATAACTCCTCATTTTAGGATCTCCAATCGGCGAACTTTGCCGAAAAGAATTGCTCGACAAAAAATTAGGAAGCTTGAAAAAATCTCGGATGTCATTGACAAACTAGACGCCCATTATGGTTTTTACCTCCTGAAAAATTGCTTTAGCATGCCATAACTCCTATATTTTTTGCGTACGAGCCCTTGTTTTTTGCAAAATGATTTTTTTGGAACGCTACAACAAATTACTGAGAAGTTCGTTATGAAAGGTCACTATTGTGAAAATGGATGATAATCAGTTTTTACAAGCAGTTCTCCCGGCAGCCAAATGTGGCTTGAGCGTTTCTTCCGCTCGTCTACTCGCTTTACCCGCTTTCTTAGTGGTTTGAACTTGGAAAAATTGAAATAGCTCCGGAAAATGAAATCCAAAAAAAATTGGACGGAGCCATTTTCTAACAGCGAAATTTCAGACTTGATTTTACGACTCGAAACAACGGACGTAAAAAGATTCAACGCTTTCCTAGATAGATTTGGCTCCCAATGGTTGAACGTCATCCCGTGCAAAAATTTAAGGTTAAAACTGTCGAACCAACAACCTCAGAATTGCGATAGGACTTCGATTAGGCTCAAAAATATGCGAACGGCATAAATGCGTGTGCGGAAAAGACGTTACCGAGGATGGTTGGCATGATCTTTCTTGCCTTAAAAGTGCAGGGAGATTCTCTAGTCATTCAAACCTGATGGCTAATTTTTTTAACGTCGTTCTTGTTTTTTTGCAGCAACCGAAAATAATTGGACGCAAACAGACCACAAGCATGAGCTCCTTGATAAATAAAAAACTTCGAGCAAATGACGTGTCACTTCCAAATCCCATCCCCAAGTTTCAAACCCGCCTCTTAGTGACCTCGAGCAGAAAATAAAGCTAATAAGTAAAACGCTCGATGAAGCTAATGTAAAGGGAGGATAAGGCTTGCTGCTTCGGATGACAAGATTGCTCCTTTTTCAACTGATAACTAGCAAAAATTGTTGTCTAGGCACCCTCAGTGAGCCAAATTTGCAGCTCCAATTCCAAAAAATTTGAATAGTTTTATCGTAACCGATTTCGATCTATACAAAGCAATAATGTCCTTTCCAAACGGATCAGCAGCAGGTCCTGATGAAAAAGTTCCTCAAATTTTCAAAGATTTTGTTAGTAAGTCGAATGGCAGTGCAGGACTTAATTTTCTGAAATCGCTTACTAAGCTGATAAACCTCATTGGAGATGGCAAAATACCCGAACCCCTAAGTCCTTTCTTTTTTGGCGCAAAGCTTATCGCCCTCATAAAGATAGACGGAGGGTTGAGACCGATTGCCATAGGCAAAACGCTGAGATGTATCGCGTCTAAATGCGTTGGAAGCAAGGGCCTCTCCGAGCGACAAAAATTTTTCGGAAACGTACAGGTAGAACGCTACGACAAACTACTAAGAAATTCGTTATGAAAGGTCACTAACGTGAAAGTGGATGATAACCAGTTTTTACAAGCAGTTCTCCCGGCAGCCAAATGTGGCTTGGGCGTTTCTTCCGCTCGTCTACTCGCTTTACCCGCTTTCTTAGTCTCAGCAGTAGGAGCAAAAGATGCCTTAAGCGAAATATTTGATTCGGAGCATCTGGATGGAACCTATGATGATGCGCTTAAACGGTGGTTTGAACTTGGAAAAATTGAAACGGCTCCGGAAAATGAAATCCAAAAAAAATTGGACGGAGCCGTTTTTTGACAGCGAAATTTCAGACTTGATTTTACGACTCGAACCAACGGACGTAGGAGATTCAACGCGTTCCAAGATAGATTTGGCTCCTAATGGTTGAACGTCATCCCGTTCAAAAGTTTAAGATTAAAACTGTCGAACCAACAACTCAGAATTGCGATAGGACTTCGATTAGGCTCAAAATTAAGCAAACGGCATAAATAAGTGTGCGAAAAAGACGTTACCGAGAATGGCTGGCATGGTTTTTCTTGCCTCAGAAGTGCAGGGTGATTCTCTAGGCATTCAAACCTGAATGCCCTTATAAAGCAGAGTTTATCTTGTACTCACATTCCGCCTGTTTTAGAAACAAGTCATTTCTACAAAACCGATCAGAAGCGACCAGAATTTTTCAAAGATCTTGTTAATCAGTCGAATGGCAGTGCAGAACTTATTTTTCTGAAATAACTTACTAAGCTGATAAACCTCATTGGAGATGGCAAAATACCCGAACCCCTAAGACCTTTCTTTTTTGGCGCAAAGCTTATCGCCCTCATAAAGATAGAAGGAGGGTTGAGACCGATTGCCATTGGCAAAACGCTGAGACGTATCGCGTCTAAATGCGTTGGAAGCAAGGCCCTCTTCGAGCGACAAAATTTTTTCGGTAACGCACAGGTAGGATGCGGTACCTAAAGAGGAGCAGAAATAGCTGCGCACTCGTTTCGATACCTAATTGAACGCGACGACAATCCAAAATGCACTGTTCTTTTAAAACTATATTTTAGGAATGCCTTTAACTCTCTAATTAGAGAAACAATGTTGAATCATGTTTATTCAAATCGCCCAGAATTGTATAATTACACCCATTGCGCGTATGGTAAACCTAGTTACCTTTTTTACGGAAGCTCTGTCATAATGTCAGAAGACGGAACTCAGCAAGGTGATCCTGAAGCCGCAACTTTTTTTGCGGAAACAATTCATACTTTAGTCAAACAGTTGGAGTCGAAAATTAACACCTGGTATTTAGATGATTTAGATGATGGAAATTTAGCCGACGACTATAAGGTAGTACACCGGGACCTTAAAAACATTCTGAAATCGGAACAATTTTACGGCCTGAGCTTGAACACTGGGAAGTGCGAATATTGTTTTTTTGGGACCGATTACTAGAACACGGTATAATTCATTTTTAACACAATTTCGAAAAATATGCCCCAAAATAAAAATAAGACTAAAAGAATAACTCCTCATTTTAGGATCTCCAATCGGCGAACTTTGCCGAAAAGAATTGCTCGACAAAAAAATTAGGAAGCTTGAAAAAATCTCGGATGTCATTGACAAACTAGACGCCCATTATGGTTTTTACCTCCTGAAAAATTGCTTTAGCATGCCATAACTCCTATATTTTTGCGTACGAGCCCTTGTTTTTTGCAAAATGATTTTTTTGGAACGCTACAACAAATTACTAAGAAGTTCGTTATGAAAGGTCACTATTGTGAAAATGGATGATAATCAGTTTTTACAAGCAGTTCTCCCGGCAGCCAAATGTGGCTTGGGCGTTTCTTCCGCTCGTCTACTCGCTTTACCCGCTTTCTTAGTGGTTTGAACTTGGAAAAATTGAAATAGCTCCGGAAAATGAAATCCAAAAAAAATTGGACGGAGCCATTTTCTAACAGCGAAATTTCAGACTTGATTTTACGACTCGAAACAACGGACGTAAAAAGATTCAACGCTTTCCTAGATAGATTTGGCTCCCAATGGTTGAACGTCATCCCGTGCAAAAATTTAAGGTTAAAACTGTCGAACCAACAACCTCAGAATTGCGATAGGACTTCGATTAGGCTCAAAAATATGCGAACGGCATAAATGCGTGTGCGGAAAAGACGTTACCGAGGATGGTTGGCATGGTATTTCTTGCCTTAAAAGTGCAGGGAGATTCTCTAGTCATTCAAACCTGAATGCCCCTATAAAGCAGAGTTTATCTTCTACTCACATTCCGTCTGTTTTAGAAGCACGACATCTCTACAGGACCGATCAGAAGCGACCAGACGGTTTGACGCTCGTTCCATGGTCTGTTGGTAAGCAGCTCATGTGGGATGTAACGGTAGTAGACTCCTTAGCTCCTTGTAGGATTAATGCCGGGTCTGTTTGTAACCCTGGTACGGCTGCGGCTGAAGCCGAGGAGCAATCAAAAGACAATATATATAGACTTAGTAGATGATGAGTATCTTTTTCAACCGCTAGCTTTTGAGATTCAGGGCGCGGCCGGCCACAGCACAGAATTTTTTCGAGCAAGCTTTGTAAGAACCTAAGCATATGCAATGAGGAACCCAGAGCGTGCAGCCTTTAAAACAGAGAATCTCCCTGGTAATACAGATTGCGAACGCCGCTTGCGTACTGGGAACAATAAATGATAAAATAACTTTCGACGATTTTTTTTTATTTGTAACAATTGTATTTTATATTTTTTCGTATCCAGTTGCGTGTTTTTGTTGAAGAAACGTAAACCGCATTGATTTTATCTGTAAGGACATCAACACTTGTCATCTTCTGTCATCATTATCACTTACATATCTACAAAGTTCCAAGGTTTTAGCCTAATTGTTGTGATAAACTTATTAAATAGATTTGTGATCTTTGATGTTTGTGCCTGTTTGTGGAGCGCCCTCTGAGGGATTTTAGAGACAGGTCTGTCAAGTGGCTTTCTGTGGGGTGGGAAATTGGAACTGGCTTGAAGAGTCTGGTGGTGCACCGCTAGACCTACTGAGCTCGGGTGACATTGTTCCTTGTTTTTGATTTTTATAAATTGATTTTAAAATTTATATTAATTTAATTGTCTTTTAATTTTTTTATTTGCTGATTTATAAAATTCCCACTAACTGCTTATCATGGGTTAGTTCAGTCCCCTAAATCCAGTCAAAATCTTTTTTTTTTACCTTTATGCTGCGTCAAGATGAGGAAAACAACAAAGAGTGTACAAGCAAAGATTGCTTAGAACCTTCAGGACTGATAAATTGGATTAGATGTGATTGCTGTTCTAGTTGGTATCATATCAGTTGTGTAAATATTTCTCTTAGCGACTCTAAGAAAACCCAATGGTTTCAGTGTCCATCATGCGTTGATGTAAAATAAGTTAATAAAGCAACAATAGGTAATGATTTAGTGCTAGACAATTATGTTAATACAGCCATCTCAAATGTCCCAGTACTCAAGAGAGTACCAAAAGACTCGCGTGTTCCCTCGGCGGAAAGTCTGTCGCATAAAATAAATGACATCGTCTACAATGTAGAGGATGTTGCAAAATGGCTAATTTTTTTAACGTCGTCCTTGTTTTTTGGAGCAACCGAAAAGAATTGGACGCAAACAGACCACAAGCATGAGCTCCTTGATAAAAAAAAATTCGAGCAAATGACGTGTCACTTCCAAAACCCCATCTCCAATTTTCAAGACCGCCTCTTAGTGACCTCGAGCAGAGAGTAGAGCTAATAAGTAATAAGCTCGATGAAGGAAATGTAAAGGGAGGAATAAGGCTTGCTGCTTCGGATAACAGGATTGCTCCTTTTTCAACTGATAACTAGCAAAAATTGTTGTCTAAGCACCCTGAGCGAGCCAAATTTGCAGCTCCAAAGCCAAAAAATTTGGATAGATTTTTCGTAACCGATTTCGATCTCTACAAAGCGATAATGTCCTTTCCAAACGGATCAGCAGCAGGTCCTGATGAAATAGTTCCTCAAATTTTCAAAGATCTTGTTAGTAAGTCAAATGGCAGTGCAGGACTTAATTTTCTGAAATCGCTTACTAAGCTGATAAACCTCATTGGAGATGGCAAAATACCCGAACCGCTAAGACCTTTCTTTTTTGGCGCAAAGCTAATCGCCCTCATAAAGATAGACGGAGGGTTGAGACCGATTGCCATAGGCAAAACGCTGAGACGTATCGCGTCTAAATGCGTTGGAAGCAAGGCCCTCTCCGAGCGACAAATTTTTTTCGGAAACGTACAGGTAGGATGCGGTACCTAACGAGGAGCAGAAATAGCTGCGCACTCGTTTCGAAACCTAATTGATTGCGACGACAATCCAAATCGCACTGTTTTTTTTCCAAAACTAGATTTTAGGAATGTCTTTAACTCTCTAAATAGATAAACAATGTTGAATCATGTTCATTCAAATCGCCCCGAATTGTATAATTACACCCATTGCGCGTATGGTAAACCTAGTTACCTTTTATACGGAAACTATGTCATAATGTCAGAAGACGGAACTCAGCAAGGTGATCCTGAAGCCCCACCCCTTTTTGCGGAAACAATTCATACACTAGTCAAACAGTTGGAGTCGAAAATTAACATCTGGTATTTAGATGATGGAAATTTAGCCGACGACTATAAGGTAGTACTCCGGGACCTTAAAAACATTCTGAAATCGGAACAATTTCACGGCCTGAGCTTGAACACTGAGAAGCGCGAACTTTGTTTTTTTTTGGGACCGACTACTAGCACACAGTATAATTCAATTTTAACACAATTTTGAAAAATAAGGCAAAAAATAAAAATAAAAACAAAAGAAGAACTCCTCATTTTAGGATTTCCAATCGGCGATTTTTGCCGAAAAAGAATTGCTCGACGAAAAAATTAAGGAGCTTGAAAAAATCTTGGATGTCATTGACAAACTAGACGCCGATTATGGTTTTTACCTCCTGAAAAACTGCTTTAGCATGCCAAAACTCCTATATTTTTTGCGTACGTGCCCTTGTTTTTTTTGCAAAATGATTTTTTGGAACGCTACGACAAAATACTAATAAATTCGTTATGAAAGGTCACTAACGTGAAAATGGATGATAACCAGTTTTTACAAGCAGTTCTCCCGGCAGCCAAATGTGGCTTGGGCGTTTCTTCCGCTCGTCTACTCTCTTTACCCGCTTTATTTGCCTCAGCAGTAGGAGCAAAAGATGCCTTAAGCGAAATCTTTGGTTTGGAGTGTTTGGATGGAACCTATGATGATGCGCTTAAACAGTGGTTTGAACTTGGAAAAATTTAAATGGCTCCGGAAAATGAAATCCAAAAAAAAAAAATCGACGGAGCCAATCTTTGACAGGGAAATTTCAGACTTGACTCTACGACTCGAACCAACGGACGTAAAAAGATTCAACGCTTTCCTAGTTAGATTTGGCTCCCAATGGTTGAACGTCATCCCGTGCAAAAATTTAATGTTAAAACTGTCGAACCAACAACCTCAGAATTGCGATAGGACTTCGATTAGGCTCAAAAATATGAAAACGGCATAAATGCGTGTGCGGAAAAGACGTTACCGAGGATGGTTGGCATGGTCTTTCATGCCTGAAAAGTGCAGAGAGATTGTCTAGTCATTCAAACCTGAATGCCCTTATAAAGCAGAGTTTATCTTCTTCTCAAATTCCGTCTGTTTTAGAACCACGACATCTCGACAGGACCGATCAGAAGCGACCAGACCGTTTGACGCTCGTTCCATGGGATGTTGGTAAGCAGCTCTTGTGGGATGTAACGGTAGTAGACTCCTTAGCTCCTTGTAGGATTAATGCCGGGTCTGTTTGTAACCCTGGTACGGCTGCCGCTGAAGCGGAGGAGTGAAAAATTGACAAGTATAAAGATCTGTTAAATGATGGATATCTTTTTCAACCGCTAGCTTTTGAAATTCAGGGCGCGGCCGGCCCTAGCACAGAAATTTTTTTGAGCAAGCTTTGTAAGAACCTAAGCTTATGCACTGAGGAACCCAGACAGGGATATCGATTCGAATCCGAGTATTCGACCCGAATACCGAGTATTCGGCACTTCGAAGCCGAATCCGAATATTAAAATTTTGAAATCCGAATATCGAATCCGAATATTTTTTTTTTGCCGAATACCGAATAATCCAGGGTCCACTGCTAAAAAACCCGAATATTCCGAATATTGGTTTACTGTTTTGTTTCACAATATTTTTCTGTTTTTTTTTAAGATGGCTAAGTGCGAGTATAGAAAAGAAAAAGGAGTGGCAAAATGGCGCGATTTTTACATTATTACGCAAGTCCCAGCCAATTCTACTTGAAAAATGCTATGTTCAATACTTTTTAGAAAATAAACAAATATCCGAATAGTTGTTCGAGTAGTAACATTTGGCCGAAGCCGAATCCGAATAGTAAGGGCACTATTCGGCCGAAGTCGAATATCGAATAGTTGGGCCGCGGCGAATAACGGATATCAAAAAATCCGAGTATTCGACATCCCTGAACCCAGAGCAGGCAGCGTTTTAAAACAGAGAATCTCCCTGGCAATACAGATTGCGAACGCCGCTTGCGTACTCGGAACAATAAATGACAAAATAACTGTCGACGAAAGTTTTTATTTGTAACCCTTGTTTGTTATAATTTCTCGTGTCGAGTTGCGTGTTCTTATTGAAGAAACGTAACCCGTATCGATTTTAATTGAAAAGGACTTAAACACTTGTCATCTTCTTTTATCTTTATCACTTCGATATCTAGAAATTTCCAAGGATTTTGACTGGAATACGTGATGAAGGGACTCCTGACTGTAACCTCGGTTACTATGATACTTTTGACCTTCTGATTACCCTTACTGGCACAATACCTGCTAATTGTGTAGAGATACTTTAGATTGCCCATCGTTTTCAAAGAAGGTATTAGTTGTTTAACATTTTTAAGACAGCAATGATGGGATCAATTTTCTGTCAGTGACTTGATTGCAGGTTTCGACAGAATGAAGCTTCTAGAATTGCCCATTTTTGAGCAAATCAATGCATTGCTGACCCAAGAAAGACAAAACTGCCATGTGCAATCTAAAATCGAAAGCTACTCATGTAAAATGGTTGCAGAAGACAAAAAGTTGTTCAAGGAACTCAACAGTGGTACGTCTATTAACTTCGTTTTTCTTTAAATAATTTTTTAACCAATGGGAATGGATTTCCGAAATTCATTATGTCTACCTTCCTTAATTGATTGGTTCAGACTTTCGCCTTAAAGATGTATTGGTTTTCCTCAACCTCACTTTTATTGTAAGATCCTTTTTGCAATTTATCTTGCCTAACAACCAGCCCTTATAAAATAAGCAGTTTAGTCCTGCCGTTTTTGATGAGTCCCATTTAAAAGTTCGTTTAAAAGGGTGGGAACTCCAGACCACCTGAAATCTGAAGTGCTTCAATTGGATGAAAATAAGAGAAAACTTCGAAACATTTCTTCTTCAGATATGCCTTATATAAATAAATCTTAATTGAAATCAGTAAAGTACAATTGATTAAAAAATACATTTACAAATTGTAGTTTCTCATGGAAAATCAATTAGAATCCGAAATTTCATTCCGGTCAAATGGTTCGTAGCAATATCAGTGATTTGTATGCCAAGTTATAGAACCGTACTAATAGCGCTTATATTCCGAGACATCTCAGAGATTTGTCCCAATAAACATGATTGGCAAATACATTTACAAATTGTAGTTTCTCAAAAACATGTCAGGGAACTGCCGCATATATTTTTCTTTCATCAGATATTTGCCGATTGGGTTTCGCGTTCCCAATTTTGCTTCGCTATACTCTGATCGAGATGGAATTAATCCTGAAAGAATATGGTTGTCATCTCTCGATATAATTCGTTAAAGTTTTGCGTCCTCTTTCCTTAGTAAGTCGTTGATTGAGACAAACCCTTGAATAACGCCTGCATCAACAGCCCTCCTCTGGACTCGGTCTATCTTGTTGAGCAAATATTAGGGTGCGCCTCCCATACTTGAATACCATACAATAGGATGGGAATAACAAGCTGATTTTAGAGAAGATTGATTTCAGTTTTGGTGTATCCAAGGCTTTTCAGTTTAATCAGCAGAAACAGCTGTGATGAGGCTTTTTTGGTTGCCTTTGTTATGTGAGGTTCAACAGAGTTTATCCGTGAACGTGATGCCCAGAATTTTAAATTTGTCGGTGATCTCAATGTCATGAACAGGTTGAATAGTAACTGAGTGAGATAATTTGATATGAACTTCTTTGGATTTCTCGTTGTTCGAGATAAAAGTACTGGATTCACACCATTCCACGATGTGACCGATGGCTTGATTTGCCGAGTCAACTCCTTGTTTACCACCTATGCAGGGGGTATTGTCATCCGCAAACTTCGCAAATGTCGCCAGGGTTTGAGTAACTTGACAGTCGTCATATGAAAGATTGAAACACGGGGGACCCATCACAGTCCCTTGCGGTACACCACTATTGGTACTGCTCGTTGATGATCTGTGGTTTTCATAAACAACAAACTGTTTCCGGTGCATCAAAAAAGAACGAATCAAGTTTACAAAATAGGGATTCACACTCGGGACAACTTAAGATAATAGTGAGATTATGAGATGGTGTGGCACTCTGTCAAAGGCTTTGCTAAGATCCAAAGAAAAGATTCGGATATAATCGCATCCCTGTTTCTCGAGAGACTTGCAGTCGTCCATTAATTTAATGAGCGCACAATTAGTCGAAGATTTGTTCCTGAAACCAAATTGGTTCTTATTCAGCCACAAAAGTATGAATTGGAAACAAATTGATTGTATACGAGTCCTTCAAAAACCCGAGCAAGCATTGGGGTAACAGATATGGGCCGAAGCATGTTGCATTGAGTGATAACTTCGGAATGGGTACTACTTTAGATAGCTTGAACACATCAGGAAATATTTGATATCGAATACAAAGGTTATAGAGATGATGTAATGGTTCAGCCAGATTGTGTGCATTTTCTTGGGGTTTGATGTTGGGATTTGTTTTGAGAATATAGTAAATTTGCGTGGAGATTGAAAACCATACTTTATGTGAAAAACACAGAAAAAAGTGCTTCAAAATTTTGATTTTCAATAATCAGTCATTTTCACTTTTGTGGCTGTTATACGTAATCAACTTCATGAAATTGCCCCCCCTCCTCTAGCTTCTTCATGAAATGTGGTGCCTGCTTACAATATTAACAAAGAAAAGATATCATCGAATCCATCCCATGGGAATAGTAAGTTTTGCATTTCTGAGGAGTGCAATCCTCTGCCTTAGGGGGTGCAAAAATCTTAAAAATACATCCAACATAGACAATTCTATCTGTGCTATAATCGAGGAGGGTAGATTTTAATTGACAATTCTCTTGATGCTTTAATATCGACTTGATTTTTTCATAAAATATTGCTGATGTATTTATATAGCGTTGGTACGGCCCTATCCAACCTGTGCACGTACCGTCGCATGACGGAAGGGCCCATTTTAATTGACCTTTTTAAAAAAAAAATCCATAATGGTTGGAAAATAACTACTGTTGATGATGTACCTTGGGTTCCAATTCGTTAAACTTAAAATGTTGCTCAGAATAGTAATTCAACTTTAAGAAATCAGAAAGTTTTGGACAACTGACAAAAGTCTGGGATAAATAAGTTTTTTCCTAACAAAAAGATACAAAACTAGCAATACCACCAGAATAGTGGAAACATTATCAAATTAGTTATGACCAAAGTACTGTTCAACTTTTTAAAAGAATTGTTGCGTACACTGAATTGAGACGCTTAATTTTTGATCGCTTTTCTGCGCTGGGATGTTCTCACTCGCCTTCAATGAACGCGCAAAGATCAAAGTTATGAGACTCAGTCTCAATTGACGATGTGTTTATATATCACTTTGATATATTTTATATTTTCCGCTCTAAAAAATCTAAAAGCGGACACATTTTTTTCTAATGGCAATCTGTAATGTGATTTTTTTGGTAACTAATTCTTCATTCTAAATTTTGATCCTATGCTGGAAACGTTATTTTTAACTTAACTTTATATTTACTCTATAATATTAACTAGTTTTTTGTAAGATGTAGCTTTCGGAAGATACAAAGGTAATGTGATTGGGTTTGTGAAATCAGGAAGTTATTGTGTTTTCTTTTCGTTTAGGAGAAAAAAAAATTACGAGAAAAAAAAACTAGAATTTTCCCCGAAAACAACTTTTCTTACAAATGTGTAAGAAATTGGAATTTGTTTATTATGGAATCTCAACAAAACACAGGCCGATTTCCTCTTTGGTTTAGTGGTAAAGCGCGTGCTTTTGGAGCCTAAGGTGTGGAGTTTGATTTTCAATCAAAACTTGATTTTTTCGGTATGTTTGAGATCAGTTTTGTCTGGAAAAACTTAGATTGTCAGTCTGCCGTTTGCATGCATATTTTTCGTCTGCGCAATTCCAAAAGCATGGAATTTTTTTCTGATATAAATGAAATTAAAATTTGGAAATTTACCAACTCTGATATTGTTTTTTCAGTAGGGGTGTGGCTTATTTGAGTTTTGAAACTTTAGCGAGCTAGCGAAGGTAGTATTTTAGTATGACTCTACTTTTTTCCAACAAAACTCGCAAATAAAACTCGCTTGCTCATTTGATGACTTTTTGCTACAACCACGATCTGTAGCATTGGTAACTTTATAGCATCTGTTCTTTCCTTTGTTTGTGGCTTTTGTTTGCTGATCGTTAAGCGTCCGTGGCACAAGTGAGACTCCTAAAGTTGTGGTGGGAGATTTAACGCGCAGCTCTTGTTTTATTTATTTTTGGTGGCATTTTTGCTGCATAGCATTGGCATTTTATTAGCATCTATAGCAGCATCATTGGTGACTAATGTTAGCAATCTTTCAAGGCTCCTTGGCGAACTTCCGAAAACTTAAATCTTCAAGTGTCGATGCCAGCAGGTGCGAATATGACACAGTAAAAATTGTACTAATTCTTGGCTTATTTTGTCTTTTTCTTATTTCCCTTTAGAGCTGCTCTGTCGTTTTCTCGCTCTTTTTGGCAAAGTGCAGCCTTTCTTGTGTTAAAGTTCATTGTTTTATGGAATATTTCAATGGTCGGCTTTTTTGTACGTTTCATTGGTTATCCATCGGTGTGTAACAGTTTTTTTCTCCAAAAGTTCGTGTGGTTTTTACCTTTATTTGACAGATTTTTGAAAAATCACTAGAAGAATTTTCCAACGATTATCTTTCTGTTCGATTTACAAAAGTGTTACTCGTTCTTAAGTTTAGAATGCCGGGTGCAATCCTTTTTGCTCAGTTTTTTGCTGTTTTTAAAAAAATGCGATCTGTTTTTTATTTTATTTTTACCTTCAATTTGCTACTTCGCTTCTGCGAGATATTTGCTCTTAAGCTCATTTAGCGATAGTAGCTCAATACTTGCGCTCTAATAACAATGGAAAACATGTAAAAGGTTGCCCTTGAATTAGCTTTAAAATTGATTGAAAAAAATGTTCTGACCTTTTACATGCATTTGTAACTGTTTATGTTGCTCCTTGGTCAAATTTTTATGCTTTATTATGTAATTAGTGCAATGTTTAGGGTCTCTTGTCCAAATGCTGCCCTTGAGTCCTCCCGATGACAAACTTTTCAGCACCAGCCCCAACAAAAATTTCTCCCGTTGTCAGTCAAGCTCAGACGAAGACCAGCTGCAGCAGATAAATCCGTTCAGGTCAGTCATAATAATATTAGATTATTTCGTTTTCAAGAAGGGAACAGACTGGATTATGATGTACACAACTCATAATTTGAAAGAACTCCAAAAAAGCCGGAAAATTCTGTTTTATAGATGGATATTAAGAGTAATGAAAGTAGTGAAGTTTCTTATATAGGCCTTGGTGATTTTTTCTTAGTTTTTTCTTATGTTAAAAATAAAGCAAACTCCACTATCGAACAGCAAAAATGTAAAAGTCACGAAAGACGTGATCGACTTCTAATATCGAAAATGGAAATTAATTATCAGATTTCCCAGCGAAATAAAAGTTTACCTATTGATCCAGTTTTCTCAAATTGGGTTGATTTTTATCAAAAAAGTACCCAGCACAAATTGTTTTTCAAATTCATTCTGTTTTAGGGCATATATTTTTTCTTTAAAATCCGAAAGTTCAGGTTTTTTTCAAACAGCAAGATATATTTTTTGTTTCATAGCGTTCAATACTCTTTAACAACTGTCTGTGACTGTTTGTTAGCTGGTTTTGTAATCAATCTACGGGCAATTTAATTTCAATCTACGGGGTGTATTTCCAATCTAAAAGCTGTAATTTAAAAGAAACCAGGACAGTTGAAGATTTGACAATTAAATTTCGAAAAACTGCGCCTAAATTTGACGAAACTAAGCTCCAAAGTATCATGCAAGCTCGCTTTTTCAAAATATGTTCCGAACTTATGGGAAAAAATCAATCCACGTTTCATTTACACGCTGTGTTTGATACTTATATCTTAAAGCTAAGAAATCTAGACAAACAAAGTTCTGACAATTAAATTTTGTAAAAGAGCGAGCTTATGTTTGAGGAAATATTTCATGAGCATGCAAGCGCGCTTTTTCACAAATCGACTGTCAAAACTCGATTTTTCATGGTTTCTTAACATATACGTCATTTTTTGCGACGAACAATTGATATGAGTCAGCGCTCTGTATTTGCTGTCCTCTTCTTATGATTGAGGAGAATGAGCCGATGATTTATGGCTGTGTTCTCTTCTTCTTTTTGTTTCAATTGGGGAACAACTGAGGGTTGAGTTTGTTTAATGTGTTCCAGTGCGCTGTGTAAGAAGACGCACTTCTTTCTGGTGTCCACTCTGAATAAGTCTTTCCACCCCGACTACTCTTTCTCCTCCACTCCCTCCACAGACTTCTCTCGGGAACCAAATCTGAGCCAGGTAATCTAAATGCAATGCAGTTTGTCTTTTGAGCTGATTCCGGCTATACGGCCACCATGAGCTCTGCAAAAACTACTCAAGTTTGATCGAAAGCATACCGAACGTAATTTGCAAAATACAACAGCGAATCTTAAAACGTATTTACACTCAGGGGCGGATTTGGGGGGGGGGGTTAACTTCCGCTCTTCAGGGATTCGACCCCCTACCGGCCCAAAGGTTCCCCCCTTTGTACTGTTTTGAGATATCCATTTTTGGCTGACGGACCCTAAAATTTTTCTTAAGGTGCCTTCGGCTTCTGTATTTGTAAGTTTTGAGGGGGAAACGCGCGCCAAAAAAAAAACGCAAATTTTTGGTCAAAATTTTCCAAAAAGTGTCTAAAAACGCCTTTTTAGACTGTTTTTTTTTTAATAGTTCGCTTGCCTGCGGCGCAGAAAAATTGGCCAAAACTGTCTTTTTAGTGCTTTGGGAGAGCTCGGAAAATCAATTTGGTCGACCTAAAAAAAGGTCGACAAAATTTTCGAACTATTTTTTGTTGTAATAAATTTTGTTCCAATGCCTGAAATTTACAATGGTTTCATTGGGAGCATCTCATTTTTACGCGTTTAGTTTAAGCTCTCAATGCTTCCCTAATTAAATCAAGTTTTAGTTCCTATCGCATAAATTGAAATTAATTGATACTGTACTTAAAAATTTTGCTGCGTCTGTATGAAAATGATCGACTGAATAACAGGGAACGAAGTGGAGTTCCTCTCAGCTTCTTCGAGTCCTTTCAATATGTTTTTGCTCATTAAAATGTCTAGGTGGTGAATACAGTAGACAGTTTACTGCTGACGCTTGGGGGGTCTTACTACAGTAGTATGTTCAAACCGAAACTGTGGGAGGCGATCGACAGAGAGATCAGTCTGAGAGATTGCGAGGTGTACAAGTACTGTCCGGATCTGAACTGCGGACCCTTCGGAGAACCAGGCTAGTAAATTGTCAAAAGACTTCCAGTTAGATGTTTAGATGAAGCTGCTTACACTCTGTGTCATTTTGAGGAACAATTGGTAATAAGCTCACTGAACCATTAACATCTGCACAAAGGATCTCCTTGACTATTAATGGTTACAAATTCGGGATAGGGGAGGGGGAGTGTTTTCAATATACGAGGGAGTCTAAGGAGAGGGAGGGGGGTAGTGGTAGTGAGGGGCTACAATGAGAAACAGCCCCAATTGGAACATTAATAAATTGTAGAGTTTGAAACTGTTGAGTATGAGTTTGCAGTGAAGTTTTCTCAACACTCAATTTATTTCTTTTCTTTGCTCCAGGAGTTCTGTGGTCGTTCAACTACCTCTTCTACAACAAAAAGATGAAGCGCATAGTGTATATATGCTGCATTGCTAGGTCTGGATACGCTGAAGACAATGACAGTTTACGGTAAAAACTCCCTTAGTCTGTGTATCAAATGAATTTTTTGGCTTATGCACCTATTCTTATCATTGGTTCTTCAAGCTTTTTTGGTTTGTGAAGTTAAGACTAAAATAGATCGTTGATAATGAAGTGTAAAATAACGGAGTGATTTTTGCTCATAGGTCTGATGATTTTTTTTTCAGGAAAAAAATTTAAAATGCTCTTGTAACTTCAGAAGTGCATTCATTCATAATAATGCATTTATGAATGCACTTAGGTGTGTATGCTATTTTTGAATTCAATTCTTATTCATCTGTTAAAAGTTTGATAAATTCTGCCCTCCAATTACGAAAGCGCAAATTGTGCAAAAAAAACGTGATCGACTTCTAGTTTCGCAAGTGCAGTTTAATTTTAAGATTTCTCAGCGTAATAACAAAAATTAACTCATTGATCAAGTTTTCTTAAATTGTGTTACTTTTATCAAAAAACAGACCATCATAAATATGTTTTTTTAAAAAAGATGATTTTTTTTCAGGCTAAGTTTTACAAATTGAGTGGTTTGACTTTTGATTTCTTTTCAAGTTCAGCTCATTCCCTCTTAAAAGGAAAGCAAAAACGGATTGAGGTGGATTTTATTTTTCAGATTTTCCGACGGAAAAAATTCATCTATGATTGAGTGTTTTGGATTTGGGATACTTTTATGAAAAATATGTCAAACATACATCGCTGTTAAATTTAAAGAGCTTGAGAGCATAAGTTTTTTCATTGAAATTCGAAAGTTGACGTTTTTTTTCTGTTTCCTTGCGTTCATTCACTTTCTACAACTTTCTGTTCGCTATCTTTGTTTTTGTAGTATCAAACGCTTGTTTTTGAGGTCAAAAATTGTCTGAAATTGATGTTTGGATCTGTGCAAATTTGTGAACTGATTCTGATTTTTTTGCAGAAACATGTTTTTGGTTTTAGGGGAGGAATGGAGCTGTACATGACGGGAGAAGACGAAGAAGAAGACTTGTCTGACGTTGATTTAGTCGACTCTTTAGAACCTGAAGTTATTCTAGTCGAATGACGAAGCTATATTGATAGCAAGCTTGATTTCTTAGAAAATATAGAAGTTGACCAAACTAATGTGTAGAGCATTACTTACTCCACGTGCTAATTAGGCTAGATTTCAAGTTAGATGTTGCTTTGCAATTTTCATCAATTTATGTCAGGTGTATAATTATCCTGCTGGAAACTGCTTCTAAAGCATTCAAAGAGCATCAAATAATACATAATTAAGGTGTCGTAAATTAATTGGATGAAAAGTTTTTACGGACGCGAAAATTAACGTGATTTTGAGACATAGTCTGAGACTTTTGTTCCTTAGTGAACAAAAACAGAATCTGTTCCTAAATATTGATATATGTTCCATTTTTAACTAGCGGAGTGAAATTGCTCATGTATAAACCAAATAGAATCAATCAAATAGTATGAAAGAATAAATAGTAGGAAAATGATAAATCGAAATGAGAATATCACAAAAAAAATTGAAAATTAATTAAATGTCAATTGTTTATTTCAATTTTGTAGAAATTTCGAAAAAATTTCGAACCCATTGAACAAACAACAACGATTTTTTAATTCATAAAGGGTTTTCGGCTCATGTATTTTCGGCTTTGTTATCACATCTTATGGTCTTGGCTTGTTGTTTTTTTCTAAAGCCAGCTTTATTAATTTTGGTAGATCTAGTGTTTTGACTTTTCTAGTTTTTTTACACTTGTGAGAGCAATTTTTTTGTAATAAAGAACTGACGTTTTTCCCGGTGAACAACTTTGTTTTCAAAGTTGCAACGAATTGGAGTGACTTTAATAGTGAACATAAACAGCTTCGTGACTACTTCCAACTTTGGCCTAGAGGTAAAGCGGTTGCCTTTGCACCTTAAGGCCTGTGGTTAGAGTCCCACCGGATCTTGTTTTTTTTCCAGAATGTATAAAATAGAACTTTTTTTGGAAGAATTGAACTGTCCGATTTTCGTTTCTGCTTATCTTTTGTCGGCTTTCTTTGCCTGATTGCGAAGTTTTCTTGTGCAATGTTCATTGTAATGAACTCAGCACCACCTAGAAGGCCCTCAACAACTAGTACAGTAAAACAGCAGCAGGGCCAACACATCTTTGCTGCTGAACAACATGAACAAAATGTTTTAAAAAGGTGTAAACAATGGGGTCAATTTTTTTTAAATTTTTAACTTTTAAGGGTCAATTTTTTTTCAATTTCTGTAGAAATTTCGAATCCAGTGAACGGAAAGCAACAATTTTTTTCAGTCATAAAGTGTTTTCGGCTCACGTATTTTCGGCTTTGTTATCGGTTGGTGAGTTTTCTTTCGATGCTAGTATCGCATCTTATTGTCTTGGCTTGTTGTTTTTTAAAAAGCCATCTTTTTTCATTATGGTATATAGTGTTCTGACTTTTCTATTTTTTTAATACTCGTGAGAGCAATTGTTTTGTAATAAAGAACTGATGTTTTTCTCGTGAACAATTTTTCTTTCAAAGCTGCAACAAATTGGAGTGAATTCAGTAGTGAACATTATCAACTTCGTGACTATTTCCCACTTGGCCGAGAGGTAATGCGGTTGCCTTTGGACCTTAAGGTCTGTGGAGTCACGCCGCACTTTCAATCTTATACTCGGTACATCAGAGTTTTTCTTTTAAATCTCGAGAACTGATTCAATTTTATGGATTCTGGTATACCTTGAGTGTCGATATATGTTCTTGAAAATTTCATTATTGCTTTTCCACCAAGCGGTTTAGTGACCTTTAGCGACAGGAATTTCGAAAAACGGTAAACTGCCACCAGTAGGTTTGTTTAATTTATTTATGGTTTTCCATTGGTTCCACATAATCTAGTTGTAATTCTTAGCCCGGCTGCTTCAACATTAGTAAAAGTTTTGAGGCGTTTTTTGGTGTTAGGTATTTAGCGTTCTTACCATCCTTGTACATGTGGGGCCCAGGGCTGCAATGTTATTTAACAATGTTATTTAACAAGCAAATAAATAACTGTTTGTTATGTAAATATTCAACACTTGTTACCTATTTCCAGTTGTTCTTTTGTTTTGGCTTATACGTTATACCTGTATACCTGATTTTGGCTTATTTCGAGATGGGACGCTTTTGCACAGTTACGGGTGTCAAGCCCATTTGATGAATTTATTGGCAAAAGATATTTACCAGGACCAGAAAGTGCTCATCGGCAAAGTGCTCATTGTGGTCAAGCATCTCCGAAACCATCACGAAGAATCCGCTCAAATGAAGAATCTGAACATGCCAAGACCACCCCTATTCAGAAAATCTTTTCGGAGAGAGTTATTCTGGGGTCAAACCATCTGTTTGGTGGAAGACTGGGAGAAGGATTGGATTCTCTGACAAGCTTTGTGAGATTGCTGAGTCCCTCGTTGGGGGGATTGCCTCCAGTGCCGGCCTCGAGCGGTAATTCTCCACGCTAGGGATGACGTACGTAAGTTCCTACCTTCAGGCCAACAGCCGAACTATTCTCACTTAGCTTTTGCCTATCTGCAAATAACAAGCTAGCATATAATTGGACTTCCGATACTCAAAGAACATGACTGAAAACAGGGCCGTGAACAATTATTATAGTTATTTTCTTTGAAAGTTACAAATGGGACCCAATATATGTGTTTTGAACCTTTTCTCTTCTTCAAATAATCATCCTCTGAATTGAAATACTGATTTGGAATTCAATTCAAGCGTTACTGACATTACAGCTAAATGGGCTTTGAATCCTTCCAGACATCCTTTTTGTGAAGGTTCCAGACATAATCTGAGCTGCATCAATTCTAAGTTGATTTTTCCGGCATCCCTCCGAGAAGAAGCTAAAAACACGAGATGAAAAAAAACTAACGTCGTAGAATTTTCCAAAATGGAAACAGAGATCTCACTTTACTGCTTTTTGGTTGGTCTAGTAGTAAAACAAATTTTTCCGAAGCACCCAAATGGAACGTCTATTTTCGTACAACTGACGACGTGCCGAGAATAAAAAGTACATTCGGAAGATTCCAACGTGGATTCTAGTCGTTGTTTTATTTGTCAAATTATCCAACCAAAGACAAAAATCTTGCAAAAATTCAGTTTATCGCGATCAAATTTGAGGAAGAAATCCATGCGAGACAAGAACAACTTAAGCGTATTACATACAGAAGGATTATTAAGAAGTTATCGATGCTCACCCTTTTTTTCCAAATTAAGCTTTAGTTATGTTTAGTTCTATTTTTTTCAGCTCTACTTCAGTGCACTTACTTATTTGTGCACTTACAGTAACTAATTGCAAGGGCCCTTTTGTAATTTAGTTTTTTTTAAATAAACTTACAAGTGCACATCTTCTGTCGGGTGCAGGCCAAGTCACAAAACGAGATTGTGCTGGCCGTCCTTTTTTTCTCGTACACTTTCGCCAACTTGATGGTAAAGACACAATGACCCCTCTGATTCTTAGCTGAGGAGGAGAAGCGAACCTTCCTCCTACAAGCTTCAAGAATCAGACATGCCTCCTTAGTTGTGTCCACTTTGATCTCCTGCAGTTTAGCGACACAGACGTTTCCATTTGCTCTTTTTTGTAGGCGCAATTTTGCAGCGCTTTTTCCCCTAAACAACAAACTTCGACTGTTTCTCGACGCCAGCCAAGTCACAAAGACAAAACGAGAAAAAAACTAGGATTTGAGCAATATTGAATTAAAACTAGATTCGTGCTTTAAAGCCACTAACATTACGACTATTTGTCGAAGGGCCAAACAACCAATATGGTAGCCGTTCAGTTAACTTTTCACTGAGCAACGCTGTTTCATCCATGAGTCAGAACATTCTTTTCATTTTTTGCTAATTTTTCTGAAACTCGAAAATATCTTTTCTCCTGAAGCAACCTGCACTTATTCTGGCCTTTTTTATAACTTTTTCATAACTTATAAAAACAGGAAACAGAATCGGTTTTATTCAAGAGAATCAATAAACAACGAATTTTAGTAATTTTTATTGCACGGAATTAGCAACAACATTACACGTATCAAGTTAAAAAGTGGGCTTGTTCATGCCCTGATTTGTGTGATTTATGTGTTTTTTCACAATGAGTTCATACTTAGTTCACGCAGTTTAATTAACAGATACTCAATTGCAAACCAATTTTGAACCGATTAAAATATTAGCATTTTATGTTCTGTCAGGTTCGGCTCAAATAGGACTCTCAAATGAAACGACTTAGGTGAGAATCGAACCCACGCCGAACTCCCCGGAACGCACTATGTATACGCTGAGTAGTCGATCCATTCCGTTACGGTTGAACTATTTTCCGTTCTGAACGATTTGGTTGCTATGGCAGCCATTGGATGACGTGTCTAGTACTTCTTTCGTTCTCAACTTTCTAGAATGTTTTCGTTCCGTTTGACTGAAATGTTTTCTCCTAGCTTACTGCTCTGTTAATTGATTCAATAGACGTATCTATCTCAATAGACATATCTACAATCTTTTCGTCTTTTTCAGATTGGGGCCAGCATTTCGAAACCTATAACGCTTAATTTTTTTTTCGAGATTTTTTGTAAGTTTGCCCACTAGCTTTTCTTGCTAAGTCTTCCCCTTTAGACAAAATTAAAATATCATCCAGGAAACAGAATGGTTAAGTGTTCTGTCCATGTCCAGGCCACAAAATATAACCCATAAAAACGCCTCACATAACACCAAAAAACGCCTCACATAATCTAGTTGTAATTCTTAGCCCGGCTGCGTCAACATTAGTAAAAGTTTTGAGGCGTTTTTTAGTGTTAGGTATTTAGCGTTCTTACCATCCTTGTACATGTGGGGCCACTAGGTATCGTGGCACACCCTCCCTTACTTCTTGACCCGAGTGCCCACTGTTTCCTCTTCATGACTGCTGGAATTAGTTGCACTTAAACCGCAAGACGGTTGGTATGAGGTGAGCTGGCAGCCCCCCTTTTGCATGGTACCAATCGGGGTGTTGATTATTCGGGTTTGCGTGCATGATGTTCGGTGAGTGAGGAGACACGTGATTGAGTGAGGAGACACGTGATGACCTGTGGCTTGATGATGTTGGTTTGGGTTCTGGTGGGATCCGCGATTCGGTCCCATGTGAGGCATAGTCATGTTCCAAGGTGACTGAGGCTGACCTAAGTGGGTTGTTACTTTGATGTATTATTCTGTAGAACATTCTGGAACAGGTATGTCAACTTCGAGTTCCGGAAGTTCACGAACTTCTTGTCTTTGTTGCCTAGCTGTTCCAGACATAATTTTATCAGCATCACTTCTGAATTAATTTT